CCACCCACGATGAAACTGAGCCTACCTGCCTGCGACCCACTTCTGGGAATGAGGGGAAAAACGGGTACTCACCATAAGGTCATGTGCCCGATGTCGTACCCCGAGGGTGGCGAGAGTTCCATGGCCTCCCTCTGGATGGGAAGAAGGTCAGAGACTTGGTGTCGTGGAATCCCAGTGTAGGGAAGAAGGAGCCTTGAGTGGCTCGGAATCAGCCTCGGAAACCCCGGCCAGGTGGTTGGCTCCTACTATGCCTGGCCCCTCCAAAAACCTTTGGAGAAAATACTCTCTTCATGTTCGCCTGGGCCTTATCAATCGAGCTTGAACATCTTCACGTAGGACCCCAGGTCCTTGACAAAATTGTCCCCAAACAGCATCCCATCAGCTGTGGTACCAGGTTCAGATAAGGCCATATTTGCCAATTTAGGGTCAATCTTTAACAGGATTGCCTTCCGGCGTTTGGCTGATATATCGGTATTGACATTACCAAGAAGGCAGTTCGCCTGTTGAACCCAGCCGATGGCTATATCAAGGTCTAATTCCGATTCACCCGCCTTCACGGAGTCAAGCAGCTCATATATTTTAAACATGGGCCCCAAAGTGTCCATAACCTTATCTTGACAGCTCACTTCTTGGGCTTCCAATCAGACTTGTTTAGGAACTGGGCGATTTGCAGGTCCACCTCAGGGGTCTTACAGGCAGAGCCAGGGACCGAAGGTCTTGGGCATTAAGCGCGCAATTTACTGCTTCCCTCCTTAGAGAGGTGGGGTGCACATACGATGCACTATATACTGGGCAATATGCCCAGGGGGTTCCCACTCAGCCAACCGGGGGTGACGCAGGTCAGCTGGATCGAACAGAGATTTACGCCCCCACCAAAAGATCCACACCCCCACCTGCTGACCAAGCAAAACTACCCTGGGCGGTAGCGGCAGCCCCAGAAAGGGTCGCTACGGGGGGAGGAAACGTCATCCTCAGTATCAGCCTCATTATAAGAGGCATACTCCATATCCTCAAAGTCACCCTCCACATCCGACCTCTCTTCATGGGACCTGGCCTGTTTCCACAATCTGGCCTTTTTAGCCCAGCCAGGTGCACTTTCACGCGTTGGGAGCGCGCCACCCTAACAAACACACAGCACACTACCAGTACCCTCACACACAAACAGCACCCTCACACACAGTACATTAACAGCACCCTCACAAGCGCACACACAAACACCCACAAAGCACACTACCAGCACCCTCACACAGCACACACACACAGCAGTGTATATATATATATATATATATATATATATACATACATACATATACGCGCAGTGTGCTTGTGCTTTAGGGTGCACACCCTAATGCAATAGGCTGCGCACGCCTATAGTCAGTACAGTGGATTTTGGTGTTCATTTCATTTTATTCTCTCTCCTATAAAATCATCTGACTATTTGAACATGTTGTTATTGGTTGTATAAACTGATTTCTCTATAGAATTAAAGGTATTATATCTGAATTAAACATTCATTAAGAGACTGTAACCCAATACCCATCACTATCAGGCATTTTACCCACTGACCAATAAATCAAAGTTTTGCCAGGTATTGCTTTTTGCCATATAAACATGTGATATGAATTCATTAACACAGGAGTGTTAAAAATGGGCCTTTGGGTTCGACTGCAACTCCTAGAATCCTCAGAGAGCACTTGAAATACAGTACACTTCAATTATTACATTTTTATCGCCTACTTTACATCCCAGACAGATTGAATTTCTCTTCTGTTAATCCTGAATACATACATAACTCAGGATTCTATTAAAATGCATTCTATGACATTGTCACCCTGTACACTCTTACACAGGTCTTTTTGTAGAACTCCAAAAGCAGGTAAGGGCAACAAGTAAAACACACAGAGAATTTACCTTTTCTAAAAACTGAAAGTTATAGAGCTAATCACCAGAACAGAACAAAATCTATCAGGAAACGTTTTGTGTATTTTAATTCCACTCTGATCTTATAATAATCATGTTTTATGGCTACATTTTACATGATTATAGATTTGTTACGGAATTTACATGTAAAATAGAATTATTCTTCCAAGTGATATGTGGCATTCACCAAATCAGCAAATGCTGAAAATGGGTTTATTATTATTGGATTTACCGGTAAATCAGGAGATTATCTAAGTGCCAGCTCTCTAGCTGTTAACTAAAACTCCCAGCATTGGACTGCAATTCTCATGATCCACAGATAGGCAAATATCCATGAGAACTGTGATCCTAATGATCTATGAACTGAGCATTCAGAACCTAATCAACCTTTTTATATTTTTCTTTTTTAAATACCATACCGTATTAAATACACAGCACACACAGATAAGAATACATACACACAATAAGGGTTATTTTAATGAAAGGCATATACGAATGCATCTCCCATTAAAGTTGCAATATAGCATGATTTCAGCCATTTTCTGGGCGTAGTAGAATTCTTTTTTTTTTTTTAAGTTTAAAATGTAATGAGCAGTAATGACGCGTTATAATTTTGACGCGTCAAGTGTTAGAACAATAACAACACGTTGCAATTTTGACGCGTCAAATGATAGAAGAATAAGAACACTGTTATAATTTTGACGCGTCAAATGATTCAACAATAACAACGCGTAATGATTTTGCGTCAAATTATAGACACCATATAAAATGAAGGTTAGCAATCCATTGCTCTTGCGGATCATTAAACACCGTTCTAATTGGAGTTGCCAAATGTTTCCGGACAGATGATGCATCTGGTCTTGGTGCTGGGAATAAGAATAGAAGTGCCAGGTCCCAGCTAATAGGATCATTAATGGACAGACCCTAAATTAATGGATCAATTGAGTTAGTAGTACAGACAATGAAACAAATAAACAAATACACTGTCTCTTTACTCTTACAGCACTACATCCATTTAAAAGACTGGATAATTGGAGTATATATATTTATTTTCACCTTTCGTTATATATATATAATGCATATATAATGTTTATATTATAAAAATAAAATCAATGTCTTTACTGAATATTAATTAATAATATAGTAATAGCAAATATGAGCTAGCATTTTTATATTTTTCAAAATAATTCCCATTACATTCGTTTAAATACCTTTAGACTTTTGTAGATTTTGATGATAGAGCGATATTTTTTTTTTTATTTTTTTTTGAGAGAGTGTTGCCTAATTATAGTTTGTATGTTTAATAATATTTTTACACTTTATTTCTCCTTCCAACCTGTCTAACTATCGTGGGAAATGTGACTCTCAGATTACTCTCAGATACCTGCATTACAAAGATTAGCCATAGATGTCTCAATGCCCAAAATTATCTTGTTACAAATTATTGGTCAATCAGTAGGGACATTCCATTGGTTTCCATAGTGATTGTTCCAATTTCAGAACGTTGCCCTACATTTATTCTAATTCACCATTACCCAGCGCATTGTGTCATAGAACTGTTCGCAAATTAATTAGCATGGCCTTTATATTTTTAATCTGACACCAAATTATATACAATTTGAAATTCAAACACACAAACGAATCCCAAATCAAGTGCAGATATCAATACAAATTGTAGGGTTGAGAAGATATAAATGTGGAAAATTAATTCATTTTATATTGGAATAACATAACCTGGCTTTAGATTTATTTTTATCTATTTATTTATTTATTTTTATGTGTATGATCACATTTTTCCTAAAAACCATGAATTATTGATAATCTTAAAAAATCTGAAAACACCTCGGGAACATTAGACTCCTGAACATAAACATACACCCTCTCTTGTATTACACCCTGCACAGCTATGTTTTAATTGTCAAACTGTAACATTGACACTTCATGCTTGCTCTGTGACCAACACACCTTGGGCAACGTTCTTAAACTGGAGCAAACTGCGGGAACATTCCACTGGTTTCCAGGGAGACTGCTCCATTATTATGAATTGCTAATAATGAAACAGAATTGCACGTCGTTTAATTATTTTTTATGTATCACTAGACAAGTGAATATTATTAGAGGCAAATGAGTGAATCCAAGTTTTAGTCTTATATTTTGCCCTTGATCAAACATCATGTAGTTAATAAATTAATTCTAAACTAGTATATATAATTTATAATGTATAAATTATAATATATATATATACATAATCTATAATATATATATACACAAAATTAAAATAGCTTTTTGCTGTTGTTCAACATAAATCTCATCAGAGTATTGTCAACTGTCCATGTATACGTTGTATATTTAACGAGTTAATAGTATATGGGGTGAACCTTAATTCTCTTTCCTGCTCTGTGTAACAATGCTAGCTAGTTGAATTTACAAGAATTTGCGTCAACTTGCATTCAATAGAATTTATATTGGAGTTACTACATTTGCAGTGCCCCAGTGAGAAAGTAGGAAAAGCTATTCACAAAGAAATAAACAGTTTTTCATTATAGTTATAGTAATAATAATTACCTTTTAAGTGTTCAGTAAAGTAGCCATTTTATGTTATTGTTTGTTATCGTTGCTGTTTTTTTAATCTACTTTTCGTATTTTTTTAGGCAACTTTCAACAAATATGCTGTAAAATTTGACAAAGATTTAAGGATTCTTCTAATGTTTGTTTATTTAAAAATTATTTTTGTTATTTTCATATAATATGCAAATTAATTCACCTATTTTTAAAATACATGTTTTGCCTGTTTTAACATATTTTCATAATTACATGACTTGTTTAAATCTTTATAATTATGCAATTTATGTCATTTCATCATTGTGTAATTTCGTTGTTGTCACAAGTCATTTAAAATGTGCCCATTTAAAGTTGTTACCAATATAAAGTATTTTTATTTATGTTTCTGTTATAAGGAAATAAGATCAAATCATCTTTAAAAAACTTTATTTCACAGATTTTCTCAAAGTAGGTATGAAGAATGTTTTTAATTATATACAATATTGTAATCAAAATAAGGAAAACTTAAGACATAAAGCCTGTGTGAAGAGAGTATAATCACTAAATCTCCTTGTGATTTTTTTAAATCAATCTTTTTCACATCAAACCAATAAAAATAAAAATCAGGACAATTGTTATCTTTGGTTCTTGGAAACAATATCCACAAAAATGATATTACCATGTTGGTTAATGTAATAAATTACTAAACGAAATTGGCAAACACACCGCATTTTCTCTTAGACTAAAAAAAAAAAAAAAAAAAATCTACATAGTTTATTATGGGAAGAAAATGAATATATAAAAATAGTGAAAAATGTCTCTATTTTTTTGGATCATTTATAATATTAGTAAATATTGGATTTAAGCTGTGTTTTTGTAGAAAATATCTATCAGTTTAACAAAAAGCTGTTTAAGAAGCGCTGAGGCTGATATAAATGCTAAAAAGTGCAACTATCAAACAGGAGAATTATCCCTTTTATTTATTTATTTTTCAAAGTATGCTTGCATAGGACGTATTTAAATTAGATATGTAAAAATAAACAGTCATACAAAGAATACAAAAATATGTGTACATGCTATTTACAACAGCAACATTAGCAAGAGAGATAATATGTAATCCTGGCAGTCAGTTGAATCAGCAATACACTGCAGTGCTATAGTTTGCACAGACAGGATTATATCACAATGAGGCAGATCTACTGAATGTTAATAATGCTAATAATAGGGTTTAATTGGCTCTATACATCCCCATCTGCAAGGCTGTAGTATTTGCCAGGATTTGGAAAGCACAGATAGGGAATTGTGCTTGAAGGGTAAATCAAAGGAAATGACATGGGTAATATGCATCTGTTTAGATAGGAATTGTCTTTGTAAATTACTGGAAGGGCAACAGCCTCTGAGATGTCCCCAGCATGGTCCCCAACTGTTGGACCCTCCAGTTCAGCTGACATCTGTCTCTTCAGCTTATTCCTTCTGTTTTGAAACCAAATTTTCACCTGAGTCTCTGTGAGTTGTAAAGAACTGGCTAGGCAGGCCCTCTCAGCACTGCTAAGGTAACGTTTCATGTCAAAGGTGGACTCCAGTTGGAAGATCTGACTCTTGGAGAAGATGGTTCGTGTCTTCTTCTTGACCAGAAGCTTGCTTTTCTTGGTGGTTTTGTCTGGGCATGGAGAGGGTCTATCATCTAGGCTGTCTGGGCTCTCAGCCCTGCAAGGCAAGTCTCTGTGCCTTGTTACCTGCTCAGTGCTGTAGGTAAGGCTTTGGGAGGCAGCAAGGAGGCAAGTTCTAGGACCTGCATGGGGTGGGAAATAAATAATCAATATTAAATTCAGATAAGCATGGACCACCTAGGGAAAAATAAAAGGGAAAACCCATCTCTGCTAATGAGCTTCACTCTAGAATTGCACTTTAAACATTGCTACTATGTTTGTTACCAATACTTATTGTTTACAGCATTAGAAATAACATAAACAATATAGATTACAAAAATAAACCATATAATAGACATCATGGAGTCTGATTCTTGGAAATAAATGATTGATAAACTCCCAGACAATGTGTTCTATCAGGTCTAATAAGATGCACTGATTCGCTGATCTCAGTGACTCATTGTTAATGATTATGAAGTGTTAATTAATTAGAATGTAATTGCCTGAGCAATTACCTGTATTGTGATAATTACCAGTAATAACACGCATTATTACACAAAGCAACAGCAAGCATGGACTCTAAAGTGCCTTTAATCGATAAACACACATATATATGAGATATATGTGTGTGAGTTTTTGTGTATGTACATATATACACACACACACACACACACACAGATATCTGTGTGTATATCTATCAAATATGTATATATGTATGTGTGCGTGTGTATACATATAAATACACACACAATATGAAAATTAATTAAGACACACTTTTTCATGGAAAGATAGATACAGAAAATTCGACTGTCTTGTCGAATTTATTACGTGTCTCGTCCACCCATTGTTTTGCACTGTGTAATATGCTGGCGCTTTATAAATACGTTAATAATAATAACAATAATAATAACAATAGACTAAAACGTACAAAATGTTTAACAGTAAACAATACAGTAATATAGTAGGTATCAACGCTTGGCTGGGGCACCTTTTAGAAGGTACCATGATAATTTTAGTATCAGTGAAAACATTTTAAAATGCTACATATTACATGCATGACATGATCTGATTTCTGGAATTGGTCAGTATTATTCTACCTGTGCCATGTTTTACAGTCACACACAGCACTGACATGTGTTTGGCATCTTTTAACCCTTGTGTTTATTACATCATCACATTATTTCCCCCTGTGCAGCAGCGCTCTGTATCTGGCTGTACCAGGGGTTAGCAGTCACTCCCAGTACCCCCATCCACATGCCTGTTATAATAGATCTGTGTTTTAGGGGACATTTGGGAGGATTTGAAATCAATCAGTGGAGTCACTGGGTCACACATGGGGTGAGCTTTCTAACAGAACGGTGGGAGATACACAACGTTCCACCAACCCCATGTCCCCCCATTCTCACACTCCTGCTTACAATGACAAACGTTCTAACGCGCGGTTCATTGGCAGCTCACAAACCCGTACAGCCGATAGATATGAGGACATGATTAGACCAGACAAGAATAAACCGCGATACATCTCCTTTATGCCCCTTACCGTGTGCTTGGAAAAAAAATCGGTTTTTATTTTCTTCCCCAGCATCATCTTCATCGTCTACCTCCACTTTCTGTCTGTCCACCTCCCTGCTGTCTGCTATGGACCTCTCGATGAAGCCTCTGTGAGGCTTGGTGACATCTGGTCTTCTGGGGTTTAACTTCAAGATGCTATCGATGGTGAAATTTAAAGAGACTGGTCTGCAGGCGTCCTGGCCTTTACTCATTGTCCTTGTGTGTCCAAGTTCAGATCTGATGTGATCTGGCAGGAGATCTGTGACAGTTCATCAGACTCACAGCTTCCTGAGTCCCACAGCGAGAGGCATTCCGCAGAGCCCAAGTTGGAAGTGCAGACAACAGCAGCACAAAGTGAAGCTAGCTGGCCAACCCCAGCCACAAACAGGAAGGCACAGCTCACAGCCAGCCCAGCTCTCTCCTATTGCTTGCCTGGAAGAGGTGGAGCACTGCACTTCTACTGTGCACAATGGGAGCTCAGCTCACAGAGGGGAGAGGGGATAATTAGGGGGAGTCTTGAACATGTCAACCAAACAACGTTTATCCCATCAATTAACACGTCTGGGAGTTTAAACCCAACTTGGCATTCTTCTTATATTAAGATGGCAATAAAGGTTGTTATCAGATATTTAGCAATTATTTAGCTATTACATTGCATTCTTATTATAATGTAACCATGGTTTGTAACAAAAAGATCAAATAAATCGTTAGTTAGCTACAGATATAATTCTATATGCTATGACAGTGTTGCACTACATCAGACAGATACATTTTTTTTTTTTTTAGCAATTATTTATTACATTGCATTCTTATAATGTAAAGGCTTTTTAACGGAACTATTAAATAAATGATCAGTTAGCTACAGATATATTTGCACATGCTATGAAATTATTACACTACATCATTATACATACATATACAGATATAGACAATTGTGTGTGTGTGTGTGTGTGTGTGTGTGTGTGTATGCACATCTATGTGTTTATTTTTATATTATTTTTATATTCACGCATTTACATAAATATATACACGTGCACAGTTAATTTTGATGCATTAGACTAGTAGGATGTACAAAAGCAATGAAATCCAAAAATATGAATATTTACTATTTAATATAAATGATGCATTTTCACATTTGTAAAAACATTTCCCCTATTTGTGGAGATAAATTCTCTCCTTATATAATGAGCTCTGTCTGTAAGGGTAGGTATGTAAAGCAGGTTAGAAATTCTAAGCGTTTACAGGAGAGTACCAAAACCACTGTGCCAGAAGTATACCTTTACCACCTCTATTACTTCAATTACAGATAAGATACTATGAGATGGTGATAGCAGAATTCATTTTAAATTCAATTATATGTTTGTTTTTAACTGCACTTTAGTGAATCATTCCAATTTAGCTGCAATTAAGTCAAAGCCAATAGAATCTGCCCACATATCAATAACCCTTTATTTGCTCATCTGTGAAAATTAGTAAATGGTTTTACAAGTTTTTCTGTTGGTGTTTTCTTTTTGTTTTTGTTTTTTGTTATGCTTTGCATTTTTTGTGGACATAATTTACTGTTTATTTAAAAATCATATTTTACATAATTGCATAGAATGTGCAGTAGTTTTACATAATTTTTCCCAAGCATATTTTTTATATATTTAAATGCAGATACTGAACATTATGTCAGATGAAAGTGCTAGACCCTGCTCCTTAGATCTCACAAGTACTGGATGAGAATAATCACAGGTGCTCTGAGCAATTACTGCCTCTTGAGTTTAGCTCCACTGAACTAAACACACAGGAAGTAGCAGGGCTGATTGTGTGACTGACAGCCAGATGGATGTAACCAGGTTAATTTATAAAAGTGACAATTTCTGTATTATAAAAATTATATATAATTATAGGAGTTAGAAAGAGAAAATAGGACTGTTGCGGGTACATAAGAAGTAGTTCGGGGACCACTGTTTTAGCACTTTAGAAGAAGCAGTGAATTGTCACTGGATAAAACTGAAAGTGATCAGGTGAGATGAGAAATTGTGTCAGTCTTTACAAAGCACAGCAACTTGGAAAAGGAATTCCAGAAGGGAGATTATGCAAGAAAGTAGGGAGAAAGAAGAATCTATGTGTAACGAACCTGATGTACTTCCTGAAGTACGTTCGTTCTCACACTCCTGAAATGCTAGGGACTTAGTGATTATAGCCGTTCTCATAGTATGCTTATTCGTACTTTCCAGAAATCCAAGCTGGTCGTGAGAATAAATCAAGCGGTTCGTCGTTTGCATACCCGAACATCAGGAATGATTTATTATGGCCAGGTGGCCCACTTATATACACAGACCCCCAGAATGGGTTCTCAAACAAGGACATAACAGAACACTCCCACAGCACGCCAAAGCTACTCCCAGGCGTCTCTGTGTCTGGGAGATAATTTAGTGTACTTCAGTTAAACTAATTATCTCCCAGGCACTAAAGGTACAAATCATAAAACATTAATTACCCCAAAATACATATAACACATATAGGAGTCCCCACAAATATTATATCCCCGGATAGCTGGATTTTAGCGCCCAAGTTGTCCAAATAAAGCTCAAATCCCATGAACACAGCCGAATTGCCACTGGGGTAAAATTTTGACCTACTGCACACGTGGCATCTGTCAAAAATAGTTCCAGAGAAATAGTGGTAGCGATCGGTCACTTTCAGGAGTTCCATACGAATGAACAGATGAATAGTTTCCCTGGCTCTAATGTAGTGATTGTTCACCTTGTTCGTGCAAACAATCCTACTGAACAGCTCTCTCCTGTCTTGTCATGGAAAGAAGCAGACATTCGTATGAAATCGCCGGTGTTCGCGAGGTCGAGTGCCTGACTTATAGTTTCAGACACTCAATGAGCAAGTCCTGCTGCATGCTTTCATGCGACAAGATGGCTGCTGTTTTCTCCAGCATGTGTTGTCCGATTATACGAACGGCGGCCACACAGAGAGAGCAATTAAGTTTGTGGTTTATTTGAAGTTAATGAGCCAGGGGATGGTCGGTATTCAGTAGATACATCTTTTCCGAATCCAGGGAAAGTAACTGAGTTAATAAAATACATGGTTTTTGTCACACTATGCAACCAAAATAGAGAGAATATGTGAGACAATTCAAAAGAGTCAAAATGTAACCTTGTTTATTAATATATTAGAGGGAGTTTTGGCTTAAGTTGAAAGAAGTGTTTTGGCTAGAGGTTTGAACTACAGATTAAATTTTTTTCTTTATTGGATGTTAATAAATTTGTAAGATCTTTAGTTTGTTTTTTTAAATGTGTCAGTTTGTACACCTGTGTGGTGTCTATGTATTTTTCTTTGTGTGTCTGTGTATCTGCATTTGTATACCTGTGCATGTGTGTTTCTGTATGTATCTGTGTCTGTATCTGGATGTGTGTCAGTGTTAGACATGTGCAATTCGTTTCGGGCCGAATATCAATTCGGACGAATTTCGGGCAATTCGATCATTCTGGTACTTCCGAATGTCCGAATAGCCGAAGTGCCAAATTGCGAAGTGCCGAATTACCAAGGTCCCAAAGTTCCGAAAATACAGAATTTACAAAGTGTCAAAGTGCCGAAGTGCTGAAGTGCCGAAGTTCCGAAGTTCCGAAGTGCCGAAGTGCCGAATTGCTGAAGTTCCGAAGCACGGTATTGCCTAAGTACTAATATACTTACCCAGTGGAAGAAGAAGAATGTTACACTGTATACAATTTTAAATAAAAAGTATATAAAAATAGCCAGGATTCAGCTGTAAGCATTTGCAACACTTACAACACTCAAGTAACATACATTCATAAAAAATTTAAGTTATTTAGCCAGTCATGTAATGACAGGAATGAATAAGTAGATAACTCCCTAATTACTGAAAGACCTACAGCTGAAAGACCTAAATTGGTATTTCAGCCAAATTTACTAATACTAAGTAAAGATTACTTAGTATAAGTAAATTATGCCCCTGCTCGCTATACTGCGAGTAGGGGCATGTCTATTAAACAGTGAGCAGCCTGTGGCTACTCACTGTAAAAAAAAAAAAAAACGCCCCCCCCTCCTAACCTGAAGGGGGAACCTATTGCACCATGGCCCCCACCCCTGAACGGCGTGTAGGGGCCCTAAAGTAAAATAAGGGGGGGGACTTATTGTCCTCCCCCTGGCCCCCACCCCTGAGCGGCAGGTGGGGGCCCTAAATCAGAATAAGGGGGACCTAATGTCCTCCCCCCTGGCCCCCACCCCTGAGCAGTGGGTGGGGGCCCTAAATACTAATTAGGGGGGGCCTAATGTCCTCCCCCTGGCCCCGACCCCTGAGCAGTGGGTGGGGGCCCTAAATACTAATTAGGGGGGCCTAATGTCCTCCCCCTGGCCTCGACCCCTGAGCGGTGGGTGGGGGCCCTAAATACTAATTGGGCAGACCTAATGTCCTCCCCCCTGGCCCCCACCCCTGAGCGGTGGGTGGGGGCCCTAAATACTAATTGGGAGGGACCTAATGTCTTCCCCCCTGGCCTCCACCCCTGAGCGGTGGGTGGGGGCCCTAAATACTAATTGGGAGGGACCGAATGTCCTCCCCCCTGGCACCCACCCCTGAGCGGCGAGTGGGGGCCCTAAATCAGAAAAAGGGGGGACCTAATGTCCTCCCACCTGGCCCCCACCCCTGAGCAGTGGGTGGGGGCCCTAAATACTAACTAGGGGGGGAATTAATGTCCTCCGCCCTGGCCCGACCCCTCATGATATAGTGAGTAGGAGCACAATTTACTAATACTAAGTCATTTTTACTTAGTATTAGTAAATTTGGCTGAAAGACCAATTTAGGTCTTTCAGCCTTTTGGTAGATAACTCCCTAATACCGTGGGAATTAGGGAGTTATCTACCAAGCGGCTGCAAGATAAATTCCAAAATTCCGAAGTCCCGAAGTCCCGAAGTGCCAAAGTGCCGAAGTGCTGAAGTTGCCGAAGTTCCGAAGTGTCGAAGTGCCGAACTGCCGAGGTCCCGAAGTTCCGCAATTACTGAATTTCCAAAGTGTCGAAGTGCCGAAGTGGCCGAAGTGCCGAATTGCCGAAGTGCCGAATTGCCGAAGTCCTGAATTTTGGAATGCCGAACCGAACCAAAATTTTTTCCCATGCACATGCCTAGTCAGTGTGTGTCTGTATCTGCATCTGTGTTTGTGTGTCTATGTATATCAGTGTGTGTGTTTTTGTCAGTGTATTTGTGCATTCATCTCACCATTCAAACGCCAACACTACACACAAATACACCCCTGCATTCAAATGTCAACACTACATACATACACGCCTAGATTACTATGTAACTATGTGACATTACTGGGTTAAAATGACAGGACCACTGCACCCTCATCACTTTATTGAGATGAAGTGGTCTGGTCAACCTTAGT